AAAAAAGTCAAAAAACCTACTTGATTTCTACCTCTCCAGGAATGAAGATGCCTACGAACCCGTGTTACATACAGCCAAACATACTTCAATAACCGTAATAATGTTCGTTTCCGTGTACGTTTAGTACACGATCGCGGGGTTCAATACAATAAAACGATGATATTATAATGCTATAATTGTATTATTGTATAATATATTGCATAGATAACCGTACATCGTGGACAAACAAGGGGTGAAATTTATCGGCCCGCGTTGATCGAATTACGTTCAGTCGTTAACCGCGTGTACCTATATCGCCGGAACCATCGCAATAACAAATGAATCCGCAAAAAATTAAAGTAGATTCATTTTTGTCCTTTTTTTTAAATTTTTTTTTCTTTTATCGAAAATCGCTCGGTTTTTTCAATGTTTTAGATTCGAAGCGTAATGTATTGGTTTTACAGTGATGTTTATAATTACCGTAATTTTTTTTTTTTTATTTGTACACCTTATTTATACCGAAAATCTTACTCCGATTTTCAAGCGTTGTAAGCTTTTTCTGAAAATAAATTTTATCCGGGCTGTACTTTAAGGAAGTCCTTTTTATTTTTTAATTTTTCATAATAATTGGGAAAAATCGGGACAATTTTTTATACCCAAATAAAGGAAACTTCGCTCCAAATCGTTTTTCGTTAGCAATGGTTTATGGTTGAACACAAATATATAAATTAAATTACCTTTAAAATTCGCCTAAAATAATGGCCCGTCCGTCGTGCGAGGTACGTCCGATTTTTTTAATTGAGTACTACGTCATGCTCTTTTGTTACGAATTATGTTCAATGATTAAAATTCGATTAGTTCCAATTAAAACGATTCATTTTAAGATCGAAACCGTTGTTTTTAATTTTTTTTTTTTTTTGTTTTTCAATAATACATTTTTTTACAAACACTATCGGCGAATAAATTAATTTTCTCTCTATAGTCGACAACACGGTTTTGATCTGTTTGGGTTTCGGCGTGGAATATCCTGATAGAAACTGCAGGTCCATGAAATCTCGTTATATTTGTATGGGCGCACAGATATTCTTATTTTCTCCGTGTATCGAAAAATAAAAAAATAACGCGTTTTTCCAATATCCAATATTCACGATCTTTCCTTTGCGAATATTACAGTCGTCTGATTTTAGATTCTGAACGGAGCGAGGAATGTATTGGTTTCACAATGGTGTTTATTTTTATTTTTTTTTTGTCTGTGGACAACTTTTCACCAGACATTTTGCTCCGATTTTCAAGTGTAGCATTTTTTTTTCTGAAATGAAGTTTGACTGAGGTGATATTTTAAATGGTTAATCGTTGCGTATACAGATACACATTAAATTGTACCTTCCCAACTTCTCGCCTACAACAGTGGCCCATCCACCGCACAAAGTATGTCCGTTTTTTTTTTTTTTTGATATAAAATATTAAGCATTTTTAAAGAGATTATTCTGTGCAATCGTTTTGTGATTCGCTCGATGAAGCTATATGAGTGTAATGCAGCTAAGAGGTTTTTGGAGGGTTAACGGGGGAGGGCTATCGTCCCTATCGTCCCCCCGGATCCACCTCTGAAGTAGATATAGTTTTATTTTAGTTGAGTGTTGACACGTATACTTCAACCGTACAACTTTTTATTTTCCCACACTATGTTCAGAATTTTCGTTCCGCGTATCGGAATATTTGTCGCTAATCTTCGCACGTAGTAATTGTTATTTCTTCCAGTCTTTTTTCGGCGTCTAGTGTCGCGCGCGTCACGTACACTCTTTGTGCGGAAATACAATCGAGACGAACGTTTTGTCCGTTGGCATAACAAAATATAACGCACAAGTGTAGTTTTTTTTTTTTTTTTTTTTTTTATCCAATAACTTTAGAACGAAATTTACGCGTCACACGCTCACGCCATTAATACGGATAATGTATTACGCGTAGCTGCATTATCGCGGTCTCTCTTTCGCTCACACTCTCTCTCTCTCTCTCTCTCTCTCTCTCTCTCGGACAAAAAAAAAACCCCCGTATATCGTTTTGCCGAACGAAATATAATGTTTTCCGTCGGGCTCTCGCAATTCGTTACGTCTCGCGAACGGGCTTTTCGCCCCGAGGATAATGGGCGCGCGCGTATTACGGATACAACGAAGGCGGCGGCGGCGGCGGCGGCGGAGTCGGTATTATTTAGCAGCGAGCGGTAGACGGCGAGACGCCGGGAACGACGTGTTCGTATCGGGCCGCCGCCGGAATCAAATAAGCGCGACGGGTTTTTTCTCTCTCTCTCTCTCTCTCTCTCTCAATTTTTTTTTTTTTTAAATGCCTCGCGGCTCTCGGAAGCGACCGTTTTCAGGGCGCATTTTCCTTTTTTAGCGACGTCGGAAACGGCGGTTCCGCCCGTCCCTCCGACCCCCTTATTATAACAATGTACAAAAGGGTATCGTAATAATATCGCGGCGTTCGCAAAACAGGTGTGCGGATACGGCGAACACGGTCGCGTACACCCGCTATCGTCGGGGCTCATGGCTTGTAGCTCTAAAAAGGAAAAAAAAAAGCGCGTAAGGTATGCGTTTAAATTGCTCTCGTCATTATGAGTGTATTTCGAAACCTGGACGGTTATTGAACGAGCGCCAAGCGTGCCGGAAAAAGCGAAACATCGTTTAAACTTCGAAACACGCGACGAGGCGTTTCGTACCACGGCTCCGCGGTTTCCCGAAACGAATTTACAGATCGCGTAAGTGTCTCTAAGACAGTTCGGGCGAGCAGAAAAAAAATACACGCAAACGCTCAAAGTTTTGAGCGCCGACAATTTCGGACCGGAACCCGAACGCGTGAAATACGTTTACGCGGACGCATAACACGTATTTTTATTTACGAAAACGGACAAACGGCGGCGGTCACGCGCGCTGTCCCGTTGATGTTGCGCGCCCCGGGACCGCGTTCGGACGTTTTTCGCCACGCCTCCCGGCCCACGGGGACGACGTACGGTCTCGTCGGAAAATACGTATTTTTCGACACGTAAGACGCGACTGTTGTTTTTATTTTTTTCGGATTCTCAGCGAAGCGAGTTCACTGTCGGTTTTACTGCAGCGGTATGTTTTTTTTTTGTTTTTTTTGTGCGTCTGTGAACGATTTCACTACCGGAAGTCTTGCTCCGATCGAAAACCGTATACAGTCGGTGCGTTCATGTTTTCCCCCTCTCCCGATTTACACGCGGGAATAACTCGCAATTTTTCGTAAAAGTTTTATCAGTTACCGAGGGAAAAAATCTGCTTGATATCGTTTTTCGTTAACAATGGTTTGTAGTTGTTGCGCACAGTCACACGTTAAATTACTCCATACACACGTCCTCCTTTCCGACTTTCCCACCTAAGCCAGTGGCACGCCCGTCAACAGTATCGACCTTTTTTTCCCGCGCATGTAGTCAACACGTTGTCCTATAGTCCACAGAAAATTCCACTCCGAAACTTCCCCCCGGAATCTAAATACATAATACTATAATATTGTATGCGCTACGCGCTCGACCGGACGTGGTCGCGACCGCGAGAAAACCGTAACGAAACGCGGACGGATCGGTAAAGAAGTCCGTAGCGCGTGTGCGTTCTGTAGACGGTTGCGAAACGAACGAGTCTCCGGGAAGCGGTCGCTCATCGATTGCGCTTTACGATTTAGTGGCGGGAAATAATATGGCGGACGGGTGCCGGGCAGATTATACGGGTTACTGCCGGGTTATTTCGGCTACGGCACCGATTGTTAAACGACAGTTTGGACTGGAGTTTCGACGGCGCGGCGGGTCGTTTGCAATCTAAAAGCGTGCGACGTCTAGAGAACGCGCCGCGTAATAAGGACGCGGTGAACGCGATAGCCTGTGCCGTCCGAACGAGCCGGAACGGAAACGCCTCGAGCTTACAAAATATACGGGGAAAACGTCCGGAGTCATTGCGCACGCGGACGATATGAATTACGTGACGTACGCATTATCGTATTTTATACGACTCGCACGGCGGTTTACGGTCGCGCGTTCCGGCGCGCAGAACAATAACAATAACAATAACAACGTTACTGTGAATAAATATCCGTTCGGTCCGCTCGTCGTGCTGCGCATCACTCACCTTACGCGAAAAGACGACCCGACCGCAAAACCGGAACGATTTCGCGTCGGCGACGGACGACCGTTACCGTTGCGCCGCTGCGGCCGCCAACGTTTTTTCCAACAACTCCGCCGCCGTTGCCGCCGACAATGGTGCCGCCTCCGTTGGTGCGATTGCCTACAGTCTTGTTGTTGTTGCTGTTATTGTTGTTGTTGTTTTTGTTGTTGTTGTTGTTGTTGTTGTTGTTGCTGCTGCTGCTGTTTCTATCGCCGCTGCCGCTGGTGCCGCTACCGGTGTTACTGCCGTTACGGCCGGTGAGACGGCCGATCGCCAACGCTACAACCACGACTGCAGTCGCTGCACGAGCCAAACGGCGGAGGTCGCGACCGCGACGCCGGATGTCAGGCTGTCCGCGGCCACGGCGGCCGTCCATCATTGTCGCCGGAAAGACAGGAGACGTGCGTCCGGGCCGGTCGCAGCCGTGTTGGCGCGTCCCTCGTTATCGTCGCGGGCGAAATGCTGCTAAACGGGACGAACTCGGGCGCGCGCGCGCACGCGCTACGGAACACGCGGGGAAACCCCGCTGTGGATATCGCGCCAATTATCGTAGCTCGCAACTGACGCGCGCGCGATTGGGGTGACGCGACGGGGCGATTCGAAACGATTATCACCGCGGTGTACGATCTAATTATTATTACGGTCCGTGTCCCGGAAATGCTCAAAGCGCCGGTTACTCGAAGACGGGCGGTGTGATATTAGTGGGCGGCCGGTGACACGAAAATCAAAAGGTGCCGCGGCGGTGCGTGTGAGTGTGACGGACGCGACTTTATGTGACCGGCGATTGGGGAGCGAGCGGATTCGGGAGACGATCGGCCGTACGGACGGTGAGTTTCGAAAGCGTTCCGACGGCGGTCAACGAGATATTATCTCTGGTGCGTGGTCGGCTACGGTGGTGCGCGCCGGGGTCCGTCGATTGCGTTCCGCGTACGAAAACCGACTGAATGATCGCGCATTGCTATCCGGCGGTCCGGCGCGCTGAGATACCTCCACCGCCGCCGCCGCCGCCGCCGCCGCCGTCGACGCTACCGCGCCGCCGTCGCCTCGCCCTGCGCCTACACCGGGCCTTCCTGCGCCACGCGCCGTGCCGTCCTGCGCCCCGTCCTCCTGTGCACCTGTCCGTCTCCCGCGGATACATACCTGGTCGTCGTCCTCGCCGTCGTCGTCCGTCGCGCAGCGATCGCGATCGCAGTGGTGCACAGTCGTCACCGACAACCACGCGCGGCTGCACACCTGTTGTAGAACCTGGCAACGACGGTCCGGACGGAGAGGACGGGACGTTTCGCTATCGCTCATTTTTCTTTTTTTTCGCTCGTCGCGTCTCTCCTCGTCATCGCAGCATTTAGGATATTCGACGTGTCCGGTTTTCGTCCGACGAACCGCACGATGACGGTCTCGTCGTTCGCAAACTTTACGCATGCGCAGACGCACGCCGTGCGTAATTCGCACCGACGGCGGCGGTCGAGGACCCGAGAGAGCAGACGGCTAGGCGCCGCCGCTCGTAAAAACGGTTTCACGGGCCGCGGTTTTGGCACGCGCCCGACACAAACGAAACAACGCCACGACCGAATTATCGTAGTCGTCGTCGTCAGAACACCGGAGTACGGTAACGCGGCCGATGACCGGAACGTGCTCGGAAACGTCCGACGAGAGTAGTCCGGTACCTATCTGTACCATGGACGCTGTAGACAATAATCGCGAATGCGAATCTTACGACCTTCCGCCGCGGCCTAATCCGACGGTTGAAAACCGGGCCTGAAATAAATCCTAATTTTATTCGATTGAGCTCGAGCTGTGCCGGCTGAAACATAATTCGGCGCATCCGTCGTGGGTCCCGAAGTCAAAAATCTACTCTAGTCGGGCACCGGGTTATGGCGGGCACCGCACTAACTAATTGGGTCCCGGGTTTCTCCGGGTACCATACTAGTTAGGTCCCGGATTTCTTCGGTTCGCACTCTCGGTATGCACTTTCGTCGGGAATGTATTTGACAAAAAGAACGACAATTTATAAAGGAGAAAACGACTGAAATAAACGTTAGCAACATAAATCTCTCTTATACATTTTTACCTTGGCACATTTAGTACATTAGTAGTGAATGAAATTAAATAACACATATTTTTATTTTTTTTTTTCTCATATTATATTAAGTCGGTATTCATTGAACCGCCTTCTGAACGTTTTCCAAAATATTAATCAATCTGACGAAACGAAAATGTTTTAATCTGTACTTTATCTTAAACTGCAAATCACTTACGGTCCTAAGTCTGTAAAAATGAGAACGAAAACTGTTAACGTTTAATTGTAAACGTTCGGACCCGACTAGTATATATTCAATAGCAGGTGAAGTATTACCGTGTCGATTGTGATTCCTCATCGCGTAACGTGTTATTTGATTGTTTTTACGCCTATTTCCTAGAAATTGAAACGGCTTTAATCAATAAAAATTATTAAACGGATATGAATGCATGATACATTAAAAGTTTAAGAATAATGTCGTTTACCTTACGGGATGACATTGTCTAAAGTTAATAAATAAAAACATTTTTTTTTTTATTTTTTTTTTTTTTTTAGTCGTCGTCGGTGGCGGTGATGTAACCCAACCTACCTCCCCGCACACGTCGCTTGCCGATGATATTATACTATTGCGACTGCGAGAAAGATTTTTCGCCTTTGACTGTTTTTAATGTAATCATAATGAAAAAACAACAAGAAAATTATTCAAACGTGTCCGTTGGGTAGCGTACGGCTGTTGATTCGCGACGGCCAATAAAATTGCCGGGACGGCAGTTGCTACGTTTCGCTACCCCCCCAATGACACTTACGATTGAGTACTCGTCTCTTAGGTTTTGAGGACGACGCGACGTCGCGATTACAGGTATAATTGTATAGCAATTGACAACGGCGTAAATTATGTACTCTCAACGCCACTTCATATCTGAACCTAAAATAAACGACATTAACATAATCGTTGATACGTTTTTTTCCGCAGTAATTAATTTTCAAGCGCGATGCCATTTAAAATTGAGTGACCTGAAGTTGTTATTTAAATACGCTATACTTGAATCGTGATTCCTATGAGATACGAGTTTGTGAAATATCATTTACCGATTTCCCGTCATATTGACACGGTGGTTACGTCCGTACCGGGCAAATTCCGTTACGGAATTGCTTCGTCCCCCATGGTTTATAACGGACGAGGATCCGGTTTGGTGGAACCGCGTCTCTGTACATTCTTCCTTAACAGTAATATGTTTTTATATACTCGTGTATATAAACGGTCGGTACGGGTCAGAGCGGCCAAAACGGTAGCAAAAATCAATGGTCGTATTGATCGAGAGGCTATAAATACGTATTATACTAAACTGGAAACGAACTCGATTTTCACCTGATGCCATCGCCCCGTTCCCCGAGACACCTGTGCTCCGGCCCCCTTCACCACCTCCTCACTTCGGTTTTGATTCGTATCCATGCGTAGGTACCCACCACTGACTACTGTTTACATTCGCGTGCTGTAGCCTGTGACCGGAACGCTTGTGTATGTACATATGTAGGCGAAACGGGAACAATACATAATTATTCTAGGGGTGTACATCAATACAGGGTGCATTAAAAGTTCTTGGACAGTTTTTGGGAACATGAAATGTAATAAATTAATAACAATCATGAGTAAATTGCAGAATCTTTTTCTATATTTAACCCGACCATTTATCGGTAATTAAAAACCCGGTCACAAAAAAGTCTAAACAAATACATCTTAAAATAATAGGAACGGGTGCAGCTACTGTTATAACCTATAGGTAATTTGAAGTAAACCTGTAAGCGACGGTAAACCATTACTAACGAAAACACGATTCTGAGCGGAGTTCAGTATGACCATCAAGTTGGCACCGGCACATAATTCTAGGTCTGTCAAACTAATACCAAAATATTGCTAGAAATTTGCTAGATTTTGCTATTTTATCTTTAGAATATGTTAGTCTTCCCAAATGCTGTAAGTTAATTTTCAAATTTGCCAGTGCTAACTTGACGCATCACCGACACATTGTCCGATCGGCCCGAATGTGGTGTCGAAAAATTGCCAGTAATTGCTAGTAGTTTTTTGATTTTCTGGAAAAACCAAACTGTTGCAAGTTCCAAAAATGACCTAGCAAAATCTTGGCAGTTAAAAATCGGAGCAAAATCTCTGTTTGAAAAGTTGTCCACAGAAAAAAATAATAAACATCTTTGTAAAACCATAAACTTCTTCGCTCCACTCAGAATCTAAAAGTATGGAATAAACCTCAAATTTTTTCTCATAAATTAACTGAAATATATCCATTTCAAGATTTAATTACTGAATAAATATTCTTAATTACTATGTTTCTAAGTCAATGGAGGCAATAGAGGAGAGATATAATCCTTGTGCACGCCATTGTACATTACAGTTACCTTTGCAAAATACTTAATTATTATAACTATCTCGACATAATTAGATAAGATACTTTTAGTGGAAACATGAAGCTTAGATCTACCATTACGGTTTAATAATTATATTTATCATCTCGAAAGCAGCGAGGACGAAATAATATATAATATTATTCGACGGTTTAGTATTTCACCTAGTAACGATGGAGTTTTGGATTCTAAATGTATATCAAAGACGTTATCGATTTTGCTAAGGTGATTTAATTTTTCATAGGAAAATACTAGTTTGACGTAACAGTTATCACAAGTTGTACAAGTCGTTATTTTACAATTAACTGCAAACAATTAACCTACCTACAGTAAACTCACAGCAAATAGTTTACTATTTTTTTTTTTTAGTAAATTAAAATATAGTTTTACCAGCAATCGGATACGGCTAGTATATTATAATATAAGCGTAATAATCAGTTTAAGGAATTCAGCTCAGAATGGTTTTTTGATTACAATAATGTATCGCGTCTTTCAATATACAAATTGAGCTATCTTATATATTATGTCTTCCGAAATTCCTACCTCCAACAGTGGTGCAAAGTATGCGCGGCTTTGTGTGTGTTTTCGGTCATCAATAAGTAGGTAACTAATGAGAATACAAACTGCGGAGTATGTCCTACTTGGACCGGGCTTGGACCGGACCGAACTTGGTTTTAATCGTGATTTTTCAATATAACATTTGCAAATTTGCGATGACGTCTTTGTTTACACGTGGTAAACGCGCTGTAATATTTTAACATATTATTATGTATTGCGTATACGAAGAAAAATATTTTGACAGTTTATAAAGAGTTATGAGTATGAGAATATTGTTTAACAAGTATTAAAATTGGCATTTCTTTGATGTACTTAATTTTGATGTATGTAGGTAATTCGTATGACATGAAAAAAAAAATAAAAATTCAAAATAAAACGGTAAAATCTATACTTCATACTGCAACAGTTGCTTATTAAAATAATCCTCTGGTCCCAGCTAGAAAGAAATTAAGTCGATTTGTTTAATCGTTTATTTTTTTATTTTTTTTTTTTTTTTTTTCGCAGTATTTTTGATTTTGAGTGTAGCAAAAAATGTATTGGTTTTACTAAGATGTTTATTTTTTTTTTTTATCCTGTTTACGAAAATTCGACTATAAATTTGTTCAGATATCTGCGCACGGCACCATTTCTGGAAGATAATGTTGTCCAGATGGTACTTTTGGCATGTCGTTTTTTAATTTCTTTCTAAGATAGCTATCACTTTCTATAAAAACTATGAGACCTAGCTATCACTCACTCGGACGATTTTAATCAAAAAATACCCCTCAATTTGCTGTGCAAACTTTTCTACCAGAAATCTTGCTTCAATGTTCCCAATGCACCTTATTCACTGAAAAGAAATTTTTAGTTTCATAGTTTAGGGAGGTCGTTTTTCTAATTTTTCAATCGGTTTTCATAATAACTGGGAAAAACCGGGAAAAATGCAGGAAAAACGGGAAAATCGATAAAATAGTAAACAAATATTAAAAAAAAAAAAAATATTTTACGATAATATAACATATATATTGTTGAAAAAGCATCACTATTAACTGAAGTGCGTTCAGAATCGTTTTTTCATTAGCAATAGTTTCTCGTTGCTTACAGATATACATTAAATTACCTATAACAGTGACTGCGTACATACAATAAATTTCAAAAATAAATTAATAAATGAATACTGATATTTTTTGTATTTTTAAGTCTATGGAGAAAGGGATATAAATTCTACCCCCCTCCTCTTCCTGTGCGTGCTAGTGGCTATAATCTGTGGCGAATTTTCAACATTTTTCTGGAAATAATCATGAAAAATCATGTATTTCAAAGGCATCTATTAATAGATAACTCTTTTAAAACAATATTTTATCGAAATTATATCAATGACTGGAAGAATCGCCCCTCCCCCCACGCCCCGTAAATCCACCACTGACCATCTACTTTGTTTGCTATA